AAAGAAGAAGGGGACGGCAGAGAATGAGGTGGCTGGATGGAGTCACTGAAGCAGTCAGCGTGAGATTAAATGGACTTTGGGGGGTGGTAGAGGACAGGAAGGCTTGGAGGAATGTTGTCCATGGGGTTGCGATGGGTCGGACATGACTTTGCAACTAACAACAACAAGATGCTATCTTGTGATGGACCAAATAAAGGTGGAATATAAAAATAAGAGTAACATCTGGGTGATGCCCACATCCCATCATGCCCCATAGTTTCCCTTGCTGAAGCAATTGCTCCACCTGTATTCCCAGATTTTTGTACTACAAAACTTCAATTCTTTTTCCAAGCAGTGTGTTTCCACACACTACCAAGTGATGTGTTCAAATCAGAGGTGGGTTTCAGCAGGTTCTGACCAGTTCTGGAGAACCGGTAGCGGAAATTTTGAATAGTTCGAAGAACTGTTAAATACCACCTCTGACTGGCCCCGCCCCCATCTATTCTCTGCCTCCCGAGTCCCAGCTGATTGGCAGGAAATGGGGATTTTGCAGTAACCTTCCCCTGGATTGGGGAGGGAATGGAGATTTTACAGTATTGTTCCCCTGCCATGCCCACCAAGCCACGCCCACTAAGCCATGCCACGCCCACCAAGCCACACCCAGAGAACCGGTAGTAAAAAAATTTGAAACCCACCACTGGTTCAAATCCTGCAACGCCATGCCTCTTGCCAACGGGAGTGCTTTTAAAGACATACAACCTATTTTGCAGTATCTCCCCCCCACCTTCACCCACTTCTCGTCAACCAGGTGAGAAGGAAGTTGGGAGGCAGGAAATCCATCTTTGTTTATTTGCTTTGGAGAGGGTTATTTTTGCAATACACTCCTGTCCACGCGATCTGCTGTTGTGACACCGAACCTTTTGAGCTTATAAAAAAATAACAGGCGAGGTGAGAAGGTAAGGTGATCTCCCCTTCTTTGAAGTGTTTGTGGCATGTGTTTGGAATATAAACTTGGGATAAAAACTAATGGCGTCTTTTTTGTTTTTTACCTGTTTCTCCTGCAAACAGCACTGGGCAATTGTGGAATTTCATCTTGTTAAAAACCTGGAAGACAGCACTTAGCTGCATGTATGCATTTTTTTAAAAAAAATTCAGGCTATTACACCGTCCAAACCATCTATTTAGTTTTATGGACAGGTTGCTGTCATTGATGTCATTGCATCCTTCAAGAAAGCCAGAGAGAGGATAGAAAGGAGAAGTCTTTTAATAAAGGGTGACAGGATTAAAAGCTAGAATAAGTGATAGAAATAAGGGGGAATATTAGTGTATACATTTTTATATAATAAAAGTAACAAGGGGAAAGATGGAACAATTGAATGATGATAGATTGCAACCTAATGTAAATGTGCATTATTATTAGAAAAATACCGGTTTCCTGAAAATAAGACATCCCCTGATAATAAGTCCAATCGGGCTTTTGAGCGCATGCAATAAAATAAGCTTCTCCCCGAAAATAAGCCCTCCCTGAAAATATTTAAATGCAGAGCTGGAAATCAAGTAAGACAGCAAGAGGAGCCCCATCTTGCTCCACATGCCCCCAAATAATAAGACCTCCCCGAAAATAAGGCCAAGTGTTTATTTATTGTCTCGCCCCAATGGGATTAGTCTGCCCCACTCTTTCTGGAGGAAGAGTAATGCTGTGTAGACCCTGTCAGTTAAGGCAGTCCAGCTGGTGGGATCCAGAAGAGTTTTCTGCTGTGGCTCCTGCCCTTTGGAACATTGTGCCCTTCAAGGTGAGATCCATGCTCTTGATCTTCTAAGAGCCTTAAATCCTGACTCTGCCTGCAGCTCCGATGGGGGCGTTCGACACCGGAGATGGTTAGTGGACTAGAAGATCCCACCCCAACTCGTTGGTTCTCTGGTTTCTAACTTACCGTAATTTTCGGAGTATAAGACACACTCCTCCCCATAAAAGAGGGTGAAAACTTGGGTGCGTCTTATACACTGGATGTAGCCCCGCCTACCCATTGGCCTCCACCCTTCGGCTGCTTTTGGCCTACGCGTGTCGCATTTCCAGCCTCCGCACACTGCAGCCTGGAACAACTGATTGGTGGTATTCCAGGAAGCCGATCCATCCTCCAATCAGCTGCCCGTGCTGAATCAGCCTGCGATAACGTGCTGAAGCTGACCAGGCTGTTTGCTGCAAGGATGCTAGCCAGATGAATACCGATGGATGCTGGTAGGAAGAGGCAGATTCCCCCCCCCCGTTTTCCTCCTCAAAAACGAATGTGCGTCTTATACTCCGAAAAATATGGTACTTATGTTTCCATCTCTGCTTTATATTGTAAGCCACATGGTGTTGCCTGACAGTGCGAGGTGGATGGCACATAAATTTAATTAGGGATAATGCAGAATACCGCAGAGGGGGGAAATATCCTCAATATACACATTGCACAGGCTGTATTCCTAATAAGTTGTTCAGGTAAGGCACAATTGGGTGGCATTTGCAGACTGAGCTTGCAGCACATCACTTCATTTTGGTACTGGACTTTGATGCAAGTCCCACGGTGGGGGCTCACTTCAAATAACCACCATCCAAGTAGAAATTGTTTTGTTCCATTTGTGATCCTAGCAATATTAAGAATCGTATGTTCTGTATAGAAGTAGCAGCAGCAGAGCCAGGAAACGAGGGTATTCCTGTCACTGGGTGTTCCAGAGTCCAGATTACAAGTGTTTCCAACCAGACAATTTTATCTTTTAATCTAGACTGTGACTGTTTGAGCAACAAGGGACTTCCCCTTCGAAGAGGTGACTGGTCTTATACAAATTACCCAACAAGGCAAGCAAATCTCTCAAGCTAGTTCTGATTATTTTCATCCCCAGGAACAGTGGATATTCAGAATGCCCATGAACCTTAAATCCTTACCTCAAACCCAGAGGTCCGAACATACTCAATGGGATTATCCTTATGCTTCCTGTTTCTGATTTGCTGGGCAGTTTTAAGAACAAAAGGTGTGATCTTGGGGAATCCGTAGTGAGCTCAACTCTCAAACTGGGCAGGTAATAGCAATAGCACTTTAGACTTTTATAACGCTTCACAGTGCTTTCCAGCCCTCTCTAAGTGGTTTTACAGAGTCAGCCTATTGCCTCCAACAATCTGGGTCCTCATTTTACCCACCTCGGAAGGATGGAAGGCTGAGTCAAAAGCGTGAGCTCCATGAGGATCAAACACCTGATGGTGGGCAGAGTCAGCCTGCAATACTGCATTCTAACCACCGTGCCACCATGGCTCTTACAATTTATATATCTTATATTTATAGCAATAGCACTTATGACTTATATACTGCTTCACAGTGCTTTACAGCCCTCTCTAAGACTATTGCCTCCAACAATCTGGGTCCTCATTTTACCCACCTCGGAAGGATGGAAGGATGAGAATCGAACTGCCGAACTGTAGTCAGCAGAAATAGCCTGTATTACTGCATTCTAACCACTGCGCCACTATGTGCTGGTGTGACCACATCCAATATTGACCGTACAGGGACTGTGTTAGCACTTTGCAAATGCATCCATTGTGATACAAGCAAGAAATGCAAAAAGAACATGATGTATTTTTGCTTTATAACGAACCCATTTGCTTTAAATCTCACTGGATACAATCGGCTTTCTTCCAGATCATTGAGAGTCTACCGTGTTTCCCTGAAAATAAGACCCTGTCTTATATTTTTTTGAACCCTAAAATAAACGCTTGGATTTATTGCCATGCGCTCAAAAGCCCGATTGGGCTTATTATCAGGGGATGTCTTATTTTGGGGAAAACAGGGTAGGACTTTATTTCAGCAACTTCTGGAACAGGCAAGATCAAAGAACACAAAGGATGTTGCCAAACGGGACATCGGGTGTCAATCATTTTCTTCTCATCCCTGCAGCAGCAATAACAAACTAGCTAAAGCACAGCTTCCTGGACTGCAAGGCAGGGACTGGGTTTTAATTAAAATCTCATGGTGAGCTTTAATTTCATGGATCCTCTTATCTGCCTTCAGGAGAGGGGGGGAAAAAAAGCACATTTTTTTGAACAGGCTTGGATGGTTAAATAGCCACAGATCTCAGAGCCATTTGTCACCTTAAGACCTTGGAAGAAGTCCCAACACAGATAGAATAATATCTAAAGTCATGGAATGTGCTGAGATGGACAGACTCACCAAGGAAATTCAAGGAAAGGAAGAATCTGACTACTACCTGGTTTGGCAAAGGTGGTATCAATGGTTAGGGGGGAAAAACAAAACCAAAAGAGGATCCTAAAAGAGTAAAACAAAATTCTGTACCAAATAAGATATAACAACGCATAATTAAATATTAAAAAATATCGTTATATAAGGCGAGAGGAAGGAATACATATCGAGGAATTTAGGTTATTGATGTCGGAGGAAATCAGACATTACGTTTAGATGTTATCTATGTTATTAATGTCGTATTTGTCGCATTTGTATGTGTATTTTGTGTGTTTATATATGTAATAAAAAAAAAAGACCTTTTCCCTCACATGGTTTTGCTGATGGAATGAACATGGTCAAGGCCTCCATATTCTGCCAGTGTCTGTCCAGAGACAGGCATGCAATATTTTATGTCAGGCCTTCTGAAGACTTCTAACCCCAGGACCAAGGGTGAAATCCAGCAGGTTCTGGAGAACCGGTAGCGGAAATTTTGAGTAGTTCGGAGAACCAGCAAGTACCACCTCTGGCTGGTCCCAGAGTGGGGTTGGAATGGAGATTTTGCAATATCCTTCCCCCAGGAGTGGGGAGGAAATGGGGATTTTGTAGTATCCTTCCCCTGCCTCGCCCACCAAGCCACACCACACCATGCCCACAGAACCGGTAGTAAAAAAAATCTGGATTTCACCACTGCCCAGGGCCCTCTTGAGAAGGTTACAAAACCATCATTACAGGCTCCAACTGTAGGTAGAATACAGAACTGTTGCAATTTTTTTTTAAAAAAAAGAAGTGGAAAGGAAACACAGGAACTGGAGAAATCATTGTTAGTTTATTTGAAAATAATCAGCCTCTTCAAAGGGCTGCCCTAAATGACTGGCTGCAAGGGCTGGGATGACCTTGAGGGGGCAGTGTAGAGCCACATGAACCCCAATTCTCTTCCTGCCCTCTAGCAGTCACCCAAATGTTTGCAAGTCCAAGTACGGAAATCCTTTAAAAATCCAGCTTTCTAATGGCCTTACCAGTCTCTGTACATGTCCTCAACTTACGACTGCTTGCTGCGCCCAGAATTACAGTCATTAAGTCATTGTGGTTATAAGTTTAAGCAAATCCATTTTACCCAAAGGGCTCCTTTTTCCCCAGAAACCGGAAGTAAACGTTGGAAACCAGCAAAATATGTTGACAGTCACATGATACTGCAAATGGTTACTTAATTCCCTTAGGTGGCCTTGGAAAGACAGTAAGGTGCCCATATCAGTTTATCAAGCTGGTCCATTGTATGGCGCTAATCTCCATTCCAAATGCAACGTATTTTGAATGAGTCATTGGGCACATTAGAAACACACTGGGCTTTTCGACATTTTCCTATTCACTTGAAGAATGTGTTAAGTTATAGTCCTCAACGTATGACCGATTTAAAGTTATGGCTGATTTCCCCAGAACTTTTTAAGACCATGTTTTGAAGTTCTGATGGCTAGCTACCACACCCAGCCCCCACATGTGAACGAATTTGGGGCATTTGGCCACTGGCCCACGTTTAGATCCATTCACAGATCTGGTCACATGATTGAGAACAATTTTTGCCGGGGGGAAAAAAATTTGCATTTACTTCTGGTTTCTAGCAAAAAATGCCCATTGAGTTCGATGAGTTCACTTAATACTATAGCATTCGCTTCACAATCACCACAAACACAGTTGTAAAATCAGGCGCAGTAATCCATTTACAGTGATCTACTTACCTACCAACATGACTTATGACTGTAATTCTGGGCTCAATTATGGTAATAAGTCAAGGACAGGGCCGGATTTTCCTATAGGCTAACTAGGCTTCAGCCTAGGGCCTCAAGATCAAGAGGGGCCTACATTCAAATTGTTAGCAAAATTAAAATTACATTTTCACTATAGGTGAAAGGGCCTCATAAGTGGAATAGCCTAGGGCCTCTTTTCATCTAAATCCGGCCCTGGTCAAGGACTATCTATATATTGTATTTCCCCAATGCTATATAGATTTTGATTTATGTGCCATTGCGTTGATGTAGAATCCTAGCAACTGCAGACAGAAGGATCCCTTGGCAACCTGATCCTTTAGATCTTCTAATGGTGCTTCCATCACTTCCATAATTGATACCATCCACTTGCTGGTTGTCCATTTCTTCTTTCTTCCATTTCCAGCACCAAAGCATTCTCCAAAGAGCTAGATCTTTGCATTATGTGTCCAAAATAGGATAATTTGAGCCATTTGTGCCTCTAGTGGGAACTCTGAATTGATTGGTCCAGTGATCCATTGGCTGCCCACAATATTCTCCAACACCAATGTTCAAAAGCCACAATATCCTTCCTGTCCCTTCTTTAATGTCCAAGTTTTGCTTCCATAGAGTGCCATCAGGGAACACCATTCTCTACACTGTCCTGCTTGTTATACGGTACAGTAGTGGCAAAAATTGTGGAAAACTTTTGGGAAAAGTGTATTTTTGAGGTTTGATGGCTAATAACACCACTTTTTTTTTTTTTTTTTGGAGTTTCAAGATAATCCTATTCCACTGCTGGAATGGCCTGGGAATAGCCCAGATCTTAACCTAAATGAAAATCTATGGAGCCGACTAAAAAAACTTGTTAGTCAGAAGCAACCCAGCAATAAAACCCAGTTAATAGAAGCCATCATTCAATCTTGGTTTCACATTAGAACAGCTGCAGAACTAAAAGACTTGGTTCACTCCACGGGAAGATGTTGTAAGGCCGTCATTCATGCTAAAGGTTACCCCAACTAAGTATTAACTGACATGGTGATCATTTTTGTATATCTCATTTTTTTTCTATGGTGATAATTTTTGTATAGCTCATTTTTTTTATGGTGATAATTTTCTCATTTTTTTCTACTTGTTTCGCTTTTCTTCTTTATATGGTAACTGCTATTCTAATAGCAAATCCTTCCTAAAAGTTATTGCATTCCATTCTTGATTAAATTATCTTTCCATTGATATATAATTTTACTACTAAAAAAAAAATGATGTTATTAGCTAGTTTTAGAAAATACACTTTTCCCAAAAGGTTTCCACAATTTTGGCCACTACTGTATGTAGAGACCCGTCTTTATACCTGAATATATATATTTTTTCAAGGTCTACTTACTGCTCTATCAAATGCTAGTTTGTGGTATTTCTTACCTGCTGGTTCCTTTAATGTTGATGGCTGATCCTGAAAGGAAAAAATCGTCCACCACTTGACACCACTAGAAATCGTCATCTAATGTAGCATTTGTCAAAAGACTAACAGGAGTCCAACAGATGAAACCCAAAAGCTTAGTAAGTATGGGTGACCCACACTTCCAAGTGATGCACATGTCTCTACTTAGGTGTAAAAGGAACACCTGGATCTACTACAAAAAGACATTCTGATGAGCTTCTTCCCCAGTGTATCCTCTCTGGGATCTGTTTCTACAGATTGAAACAAGGTATCCCCATTAAAGAAAGAAGGACTCTGTGGCAAGCAAAAATGTAACTGGAACTCTCTCCTTTCTTCCATCTGCTAGGACTGGATCCAGACATGCAAAGAGGGGGGAAGGGAGGGCCAAGTGACATGTAGCTTCCTTCTGGCTTCCTTGTAGCGAGAACATCTTAGGCACATCCTGGCTTAGAAGAAGGTTAGAAGCAAGTTAGAAACAAGTTAGCAAGTTAATGACAGTTTAGGGCAGGGGTCTGCAACCTTAAACACTCAAAGAGCCAATTGGACCAGTTTCCCACAGAAAAGAAAACACCGGGAGCCACAAAACCTGGCTGTGTGTGGCCAACTCGACCGTCACTCACTTCCACCAGTCACATGACCCCCCCCTTAGCCACGCCTACCCAGCTGGTCATTAGGGCAGAGAACTGGTTGTTAAAAAACACGGGGACCCACAAAACCCTTTTGACATATCTCTCTTTCTCTCCCATATCTCTTTCTTTCCCTCCCTCCCTCCTCTCTCTGTCTCTCCCCCTCTCTCTGTATCTCTCTGTCTCTCTCCCCCCCACTTCTCCATCCCCCGCCATTGCCCTTACCTTCTCAGGCCAGGCAAGGAGTGACTGGGAGGGGAGGATGAGAGGCAGTGCCAGCCAGTGGTGGGATCACCCAACAGGGAGCCACAGCAGAGGGCCTAAAGAGCTGCATGCGGCTCCGGAGCCGCAGGTTGCTGACACCTGGTTTAGGGCAAGAGAGAGACTAGTTTTCTGGGTTCACCCCATGCTAAGCCACCAATCATAGCTTAAGAGAAACAAAACCCTTATGACCAAAACAAAAGAAGCTATACACAAATCTACCCTTAGGTTTCTCCGGAAACATACAAGCAATAGAACCCGTGCAGAATCAGCAGGGAATTCACACCTGACTAGGTGGCTCAGCGGCTAAGACCCCGAGAGCTTGTCGATCAGAAAGGTTTGGCAGTTCGGCGGTTCGAATCCCTAGTAACACAGGTCCTCCTGCGTGACCAGGGGGGGTCGGACTAGATGACCTCCAAGGTCCCTTTCCAGCTCTGATACTGAACTGGAAACCGAAGCAGGAACCACGCAGAGACACAAGAGCCTCCTGCCTGGAAAAGGGCTGTTCTGCGGCCTTCCCAGGAGGGGTTGGACCAACCTGCCACCTGCGGGGGGGACAGGCAGACAGTTAACTAGGTCCACGGATGAAGAATCAGAGCCGGGAGAGCGGGGCCTCCTCCGTCTCACCCACCTGCTTTTGTCAACCGCAGCGCCGGGAAGACCGCTAGAAAACACGACCCCCCCCCACACACTTCCTTAAAAAAAATAACAGGCCTCTCGGGACCGCGGGCTGACCCACAGCGACCAGCCGAAGGCCAGCAGCCGGCGACGGGAAGCCTTTATCCAAACTGGGCCCCCGCTAGGTTCAAACTCGGCCGGCCGGGCGAGAGAGGGCGGGCACCCGGGAGAAGAGGGCAGCCCTGGGCCGGGGGCGCGCGCGCGCGCCTCTCCCGCGCAGCCTCCCGCGCCACCTTTAAAGCCTGTCTGGGGCGGGAGCGAGCGCCGAGCGTTGCGCCGGGGCGGCGCCCACTCCCGGGGCCAATGGCGCGCCTCCTCTATTTAAATAGACGAGCCGTGTCAATCATTCGCCTCTCCGTCAGCCTCCTTTCAATCGCCATATTGGGCAGGGGGGCCGGAGAAGGCGCCCTCCCTCCCTCTTTCCTCAGGGCTCCTTCCTAGCCGCGGGAGCGCCGGAGAAGCTTCTTCCGCCCGCCGCCCGGAGCAAAAAAACCCCCCAAAAAACAAAACAAAACAAAAAAAAAAGCAGGTCCTCCTCCTCTTCCTCCTCCCCGCCGGGGCTCGGGCGTCTGGCCGGCGCTTTATCTCTCGTCGTCGTCTTCGGCGGCTCCCGTCGGGACCTGCGGAGAGCGCTCCGGCAGCAGCGGCCGCTCCTCAGTGGCCCCGCGCGGCTGGGATTATTATTTTTTTTGTGTTATTTTTTGTGTGTGTGTGTGTGTGTGTTTTTCGGAACCGCGCTCGGTGCGCCGTCGCCGGGCGTCCCCGACGCCGCCCGCCTCTCCCTCCTCCCCCGACCCCGGCTTATGCGAGGCTCCGGCCGGCAGAGTTGCTGCGCGCTGTCCGCCCGGGAAGCGCTTCCTCGCCTGGGTCCGGCGGAAAGGCCGCCCGCCGTCGCCGTCTTCTTCTCCTCCTCCTCCTCGAGCGGGACGCCGAACCCCTCACCCGCCGCCGCCTTAGCGCCGTGGCCGGCTTCTCGGCGGGCCATGTCGAAAGTGCGTGTCTCGAATGGAAGCCCGACCCTGGAGCGGATGGAAGGCCGGCCGGCGGACGCCCCCAAACCTTCGGCTTGCCGCTGCCTCTTCGGCCCCGTCGACCGGCAGGAGCTGGCGCGCGAGTGGCAGGACCAGAGCCGCCACTTGGAAGAAACCAGCCGGAGGCGGTGGAACTTCGATTTTCGGCGCGGGCAGCCCCTGGAGGGCCGCTTCGAGTGGCAGGCGCTGGACAAGGCGGCGCTGCCCGATTTCTACAGCCGTCCTCCGCGGCTCGGCGGGGCCCGGCCCAAGGCTGACGGCCGAGAACGGCGCCTGGAGCTCAACGGAGACCGCTCGCCGCTCGGGGGGCTTCGCTTCTCTCAGGCACCGGCAGAGCAGGAGCCCGAACCGGAGCCCCAAGAGCAGCAGGACGGGGCCGCGTTAACCCTGAGCTCCGGCCCGAGGAAACGACCTGCCGCGGATGGTAATAAACCTTCCTTGGCTCCCTTGGAAGGAGCTGCTTGGCCACACGAAGGCTCCGTTCAGGGAGAAAATATATATATATATATATATTATTTTATTTTCCCGGTTTTCTGGTCCTTCTCCGGCCATCTGAAGGACGGATCGCCTTTTGCTCTTTTGATGCCCGAGCCCGGGCGTTGCTTGGAAGCGAATCCCTCGGTCAATTTGGGGCTCCCCCCCCCCATCCAAGCCCGGCGGGACTCGACCAGCGAGAGCTCTTTTTTCTTCCTCTCGGAGCAGCTGCCCTGGGATCGACCTTCCTGCAAGGAGCCAAACGGGGCCCGTCGATTTCCCAGAGACTTTTCGCCCCGAGAAGCTTTTGGAAGGGGTGGTGGATGGAGGTGGAGATATTAACTGGGCTGTAGCTTTCACAAACCAGATCTTGATCTTTATTTTTGCCAGGTTTTTATTTATTTCTTTTGCAAGGTTTTCTTTCTTTATATTTTCTTTATTATTATTATTATTATTTTTAACCAATAACTTGGCAAACGCATCCAACAATATTTTCCTCCTATTTTTCCCCACAACAACAACAACAACCCTGTGAGGAGGCTTGGCTTGGCTGTGGGGTCCCTTTAATTGACTGGTTTTTCTCTCAAAAATAGGCCTGGTGTAAGATATTCCTCATAAGAGGCTCCTCTTAACAATTCTGATATTCTTATCCTTAATCTGGAGGGCACTGCGTATATTTTATGCCAATGGCAGATGGTTCAGGAATTCCCTTCCAAAGTGATGCTATTTTCCTGCCCTTCTTTAGTGCGTAACTTGATTGCCGGTATCAATCTTTTTAATATCCTCCTTCCCCATTTTTCCCCCCTTCCTGAATCCTCCCTTCATAGATTCCTCTCCTCCAAGCAAAAGAGCCAACACAACTGAAGAAATTTCTGAAGATCCTTCTGAAGATCCACCCATGGCCAGCTCAGAGGAACAAACGCCCAAGAAGAAGACATCCAGTCCAAAGCGGTGTCAGACGTAAATTGGTTGTTGCAGAGGTGAGTTTTCTTGTTTTAGAAGGAAATGCTTCATTATTTTGTATTACTTTTGTATCCATTCAGTTTGTTTGGCAAATTGGGTCCGTGCAATATCATTGGCTGAGGTATGGAGTTTTGTGTGATCTTTATAAGCAAGCTGTCAAATTCAGGCTTACTCTACTGAGTAAAGAAGTGGCTTTTAGAAGAAAACGAGAGTTGATTCTACTATAGATGATAAGCTTGTGTTTGCTGACTTAAAAACTCTCCTTGAACACTATGGATTTTATTTCTGAATGCATTTGCCTAGGATATAATGCAGTATATTTTTTAATAAAAGTGGCAACGTGGACTTTTTTTTAAAATTTTCTTTATTTTTTAATCTGTCTTTAAAAGAAATGAAAATACTAAAATCCATGCACAAGAAAGGCTTTTAAAAATATTTTTTTTCCTCTTAACTGCTGTGCATTGTAAACAATTGGTATGTCATTTGAAATGTCCAGCCTCTCTGTTCTACCTAGAGATATAAAGCTTTTGTGGAGCGCGGTGGAAATGAACAGCAAACAACTATATTCTTAGTGGCAGTTAAGGGACTAGCTCAAAGGCGCGCAGAATCTGTTAATTAAGGACAGGCGTTCTGGATAGATTTTTACATAGCAGGAATAGTGTAAGAATATTGGCAGATCTGATTTCCAAATTAATAAAATTTGGAAATTAACTTTCAGCTTGGAAGTAGATACTCCGGATGCCGTTGGGATGAGGGAGGACACGTGTTCAACTTAACTACTACTAACTGTTTACTTGAACATTTGAAAGGGAAATGAAAGCTTTTGGGTGGACCAATCATAGGGGAGAGAGAGAGAGAGAGAGAAAGAGAGAGAGGGAGGGAGCACCAAGTGAGGTTGGTATCTGTCTCTTGAACACCTCCCAGAAAATAACAGGGTAGCACAAAATTTAGCCTTTTCTCACTACATCTAAGCAGTTTCCTATTTGTGGTTAATTCTGTCGGCTTTCAGTCTGAAATCTGGTTGGGGCAGATTAACCGAATCCCTCCTTAGTCAAGAAGTACATTATGAAATCTTCGTTGGTGGGGTTGTCTTGCTTTTGTCTGATGAGATTATAAAATCTCTTATGAAACAGAGAAAAAAACCAACAACAACCAAAAAGATTGGCTGTTGGCAGAATGCAGCATATTTAGAAGTGCAGCAGGCTAGGTTTAGCTAATGCTAATTTTGGTTAGACTTGTGGCTCAAAATTGTTGAGTAAACTCAGTCATTTGGATTATTGTATTTTGTGTGTGTGTGAGTGTGTGTTTATTTGGGAAACAAACCAAGCCAGTTGTGTGTGTATGTAGTAATGAAAACGGTAGAATCTGCAGGTTTTCCGAAAAGCCTAAAAAAAATTCTGTTTAACTAGAAAACAGGATTCTATAAAAAGTTGGCATAATAGAAACCAGACTTGACTGGTGGGGCTGATTCTAATGCTGCCTGTCAGTGGATGATTAGAGCCAGTTTGGTCTAGTGGTGAGAGCACCAGGCCTAGAAACCGGGAGATTACAAGTTCTAGTCCTGCTTTAGGCATGAAAGCTGGCTGGGGGACTTTGGGTCAATCCACTCTGTCTCAGTCCAACCCACCTCACAAGGGTGTTGTGAGGAAAATAAGGATATAATGTACATAAATAATAAATTTAAAAAGTGTAACCGTAGACCCACAGAATGTTTTGACAGCAGGTTTTATTTATTTTGTATATTTGCTTATATATATATATATATATATATATATATATATTTCGCTGATAAAGAAATAAAGGGAGACTAGTATAGATCTATAGTATAGATTCTATTTCTTTATCAGCGAAATATAAATTTGGTATAAAATGGTTTGTCATGAATGCGACTGCTTGAGGGCTCCTGGATTGGAGCTGAATGGCGAAAGGGATGCAGTGTGCTCCCTCCCACGTGCTGGGGTAGACCAGGTGTCTCAATAGAAATACACACATATATGCTTGTGAACTGCCTAGAGTTACTTAGATGAGCCGGATGTTGCAGAAATTTGATAAATAAATAAAAACAAAATATCAAACTTAGAGACTGCCTATCTCACTCCCACAATAATGCTCTAAAAACAACAAAGCAAAGGAATTGGATCCCTCAGCAATTGATACCTTTTTTCTTCCTTCATTTCAGAATTAAGAATATTTGTTTCCTTGTATTCGGAGGAGGCAAATGAAGCCAAGAAGATCCAGCGCTCGCATTCATATATGCACCTGTACATGTATGAATAAATGAATGAAAGAAAGAAAACATATCACTGATTCTCCATCGGATGGGGGAATTCCTTAAAGCACTGAAAAGAAACAACCAACAATGAAATAACACTAAACCAGGCTGTCTTAAAAGAGCCTGCCTCTTAAAGCAATGGATGTAGCATTCTGCAATTAGGTTTTCCTCATTTGCTTCTTTGTACTACCTGTGTAAATAGTTTTTACATTATGTAGCACATAAACCTTTCTCCCCTCTTTGGGTGGCGGGGAGAAGAGTTTTGGGAGGGATTTTGTTTTGTTTTGTGAAGGGGTGGAGCTAATAAAAGGTGATGGGTTTAAAATCTGCTTCCAAACCCCAGAAAGAAGCAGATGTGTTTATTAAAGGAACATTGTCCCCTTTTTTGTGTGTGTGTGTGTGTGAGAAGAGAAAGTCCAAGGTAATAAAAGAAATTGGCATTTAATCATAGTTTTCCAGCAGGTTAATGAATCGGCTGGTGAAATTTATGTGTCAAGGACACAATCTGGGAAATGTTTGCCTGCGATGACCTCGCTGGAAGAGAGAGGAGTTTTGGGGAAGTACCCAATTTCTAAGGTGGTGTGAGATGCTTTGAGATCACACAGGGCAAAGTTTTGTGTAGGAGGCCCAGTTCTCTCTCTGGAACTGTAAAAGAGGAACTCTTTTAAGGGGCATTTTCTCATAGGGTTTTTTGTTTTTTGGGGGGGCCTCCTTATTTTTTAAAAGTCCTGCCCAACAACATACACAGCGTAGAGGAGAAATTAATAAATTCTTGACTTCCAAACTCTTATTCGCTCACTTTTCTGGCCCTTCATTAAGTGGGTAAATGAAAAGGAAACAGTATTTTTTTTTTTTTACATTTTCTGGGTGGGGTTTTTGTTTTTTGAAAAAAAAAAGTTTTGAAATGTACCTGTGTACATAAATGTAAAAACACTGAGAAATTATACTAACTTATTTATGTTAAAAAAGATTTTTTTTTAATCTAGAAGATATTTTCCCAGAAAAGCCAAAGTGGCGCGTGGTTTTTGTGCATTTGTAAATGCTCTATTTGGTAGGGGATTTTTTGTTGTTGTTAGCCTCTGCGGGGAGTTTGTTTTGTTAATTAATATGGCTGTGCTTAAATGATTGCAGACTGAGCCACTTCAATTTTTTTTCTTTTGTAATATGCAAAAAAAAAACCAGTTGCCATGTGATACTGTTTTACATCAAGCAATCAATAAAGAGAACTGCCATCTATAAACAAATAAACTGTCTTGTGTGTGTTTTATAAAACCTGGGAACTATTTGACAGATACAGATGAACAGAGTTGGAAGGGACCTTGTAGGTCATCTAGTCCAACCCCCCCCCCCGTCCAGACAGGAGACCCTGCCTACACCGTTTCTGACAAATGGCTGTCTAGTCTCTTCTTGAAAGCCTCCAGTGATGAAGCTCCCGCAACTTCTGAAGGCAAGATGTTCCACTGGTTTGATTGTTCTCACCGCTGGAAAATTTCTCCTTAATTTGTTTTCCAAATAAAGGTAGTCCTTGATTTATGACCACAATTGGAGCCCAAATTTTCCACGGCTAAGCAACAAAGTTGAGTTTTTGACCTATTTTACAACATTTTTTTTTGCCACAGTGGCAAGAATCGCTGCAACTAAATTTAAATAACATGGTTGCTATTAAGTCAGTGTTTCTCAACCTTGGAAGCTTGAAGATGGGTGGACTTCAACTCCCAGAATCCCCCAGCCAGCACTGCTGGCTGGGGGATTCTGGGAGTTAAGTCCACCCATCTTCAAGCTTCCAAGGTTGAGAAACACTGTATTAAGTGATTCTAGCTTCCCCATTGACTTTGCTTGTCAAAAGGTCGCAAAAGGGGATTGTCTGACCCCTGGGACACTGCGTCATAAATACGAGTCAGTTGCCAGGCCTCTGAATTATGATCATATGACCATGGAGATATTGCAGGTTTAAACAAAACTCTAGATGTGAACTTCCTTGCTTCCTTGCTATATATTCCTTCCTTCCTTCCTTGCCAGTTTGATGTAGTGGTTTTGAGGCACCAGGCTAGAAACCAGGAGACGGAATTGTAGTCCCACCTTAGGCCCAAAATCCGGCTGGGTGACTTCGGGCCACTCACTTTCTTTCAGCCCAACCCATCTCGCAGAGTTGTTGTTGTGGGGAAAATTGGAGGAAGGAGGAGCATTAGGTCTATTTGCCACCAAGATTTGTTTCCAAAAACAACAAAGGGATAGAAATAAATACTGAAAATCCACGTTCTGAGGAGAAACGGTCTTGCTTTCCTCCTCATGTCCTCATAACTAAATTTGGGGTGGTAGTAGTTGTGTGAATAAACTCATAATTCATTGCAGAGATCTAACAATATTCTGGAAAGTCGGATCAGAAAGAAACCACAAGGTTCTTCGAAGGGGCTAGTAGCTGCCGATACAAATGAAAAACAGTCATAAGTCACTTTTTTCCCATTGTAACTTTGAACAGTCACTAAACAAACTGTTGTAGGTCGAGGACTACCTGTATGGCCTCTGTAAGGAGCGTAAGGGCCGCTCTTTGCGTGCAGAAATGAAGTAGGTAATAAAGCATTGTCGTCATTGTTGACTGACATTGGCAGCTCATGCAAAATTGGGACATTGTTAATGCAATAGTGGCGACCCAGCCTGAGGGATCTCCAAAACCAGGCGCCATTCTGATATGCTGGACTTCAAATTCCATAATGCACAGCCATAGCCAGTATGCCCAGGCTAATGAAGACTTGTAGAATACAAAGAGGTGCAGTGGTGGGTTTGAAATTTTTTTACTACTGGTTCTGTGGTGTGGTTTGGTGGGTGTGGCATGGCTTGGTGGGCGTGGCTTGGCAAGTGTGGCAGAAGGATACTGTAAAATCTCCATTCCCACCCCCCTCCAGGGAAGGATACTGCAAAATCCCCATTTCCTCTCGATCAGCTGGGACTCAGGAGGCAGAGAATAGATGGGGGCGGGGCCAGTCAGAGGTGGTATGTACCTGTTCTCCTGAACTACTCAAAATTTCCGCTACCGGTTCTCCAGAACTAGTCAGAACCTGCTGTAACCCACCTCTGAAGAGGTGTCTAACCAATTCCATGGGAAGTTTGGTGCTTAACCAACAAGCAAATAAGTTAACTCCTTGTTAACCTTTTTGGTGTGGGGCAGGAGTGGGAAGAGAGATTTTACAGAGATGTTGTAAATTAAAAACAAAACAGATTTTGTAGTAGTAATAGCAGCTAATCCCCAAATGATGACCATTAGGGGGTTGTATTAAAAAAAACCACTGAGGACTGCACCTTTAAAAGTTGTTGAAATTGTATCAGCTACTAGCTCCTTCAAAGAACTTTCTGGTTTCTTTCTGATCAGACTATCCAGAATATTGTTAAATGCATTCTGAGTTTATTCATACAACCTCCCGCCCCCTCAAATTTAGTTATAAGGACATTAGGAGGAAAGCAAGACCATTTCTCCTCAGAATGTAGATTTTCAGTATTTATTTCTATCCCCGCCTTTATTGTTTTTACAAACAATGCAAGTAGCAAATAGACTTAATACTCCTCCTTCCTCCTATTTTCCCAACAACAACCCTGGTAGGGTGGGCTGAGAGAATGTGACTGGCCTGAAGTCACCCAGCTGGCTTTTGGGCCTAAGGTGGAACTTGAATTCACACTCTCCTGGTTTCTAGCTTCAAAACCACTACATCAAACTGGGTCTCAATACAGCAAGGAACATTCACATCTAGGAGTTTTCTTTTAAACCTAAAAATCAGGATTTAGGGAGTTAAAAGCACAGAAACTGCCCTAGTATATAAAAAAAGAAAAAAACGAGGCAACTGTTAGCAGTTCATTTCCAAATAAGTTGCCCAGAATGCGTATCTTTGGCTGAACATCAGTACTGTTATTCTGTGCCTGCTGAAGTTGCAATTTATAAAGATGACCCACTTCTGAAATAATTCCACAGCCTGCGGCACCCCCAAAATGTCAAATTTGCCCACAAAAGCAGGGAGGATCAAGAAGAGAAATGTGGAGAGAAGGAGCATTTTTGCACCTGTAGGTAATACGCAGTCTTGCTGGGCCTTCCCTCCCCCCTGCTACTTCAGAGAGAGAGAGAAAGAGAGAGAGAGAAAGAGAGAGAGAAAGAAAGAAAGAAACTTCCTGTTTTGGAAATAACAAAGCCTAACAAAAACAAGAAGCAAAGCTACTCTTATCTTTTTGTTTTTTTTTTGTTTGTTTTTTTGAACCCTAAATGAAGGAAACGGCACCTCCTGCTTTGTAAAAAAAAAAAAAAATTTGCTGCAGGAGAGAGGAGAGAAACTGAGAAGGACAAATAACTCGACACTGAGTCAAAAGTCAAGTTTAAAAAGAGAAATTATATCGGCTCCCTTCTCGATGGCTCCTTGCCTGCCAATAACCACAACGTGCAACCTTCACATTGTTCTGCAACCTCAGCTGGACCTCAGTAACAGTTAACAGAGTTGGAAGGGATCTTCGAGGTCGTCTAGTCTGACCCCCTGCTCACCCAGGAGACCTGTACGAGGGATCTGAACCGCCCAACCTTTTTGATCGACAAGTTCAGTGTCTTAGCCACCAAGCCAACTACTCAGGCCTCTTATCAGAAAGATTTCGGGGGGACCCTTGTAAGGCTAAACCTACACTGAGTCTTTCACTCAGATTAAAAATGCCACTGCGAAGATATCCTTTTATTGAAAAATCAACTCTGCCTCCCTTGCAATGTTTGTTGTTGTTGTTATTATTATTATGGTTAATCTTTGGTGAGATTCACATCCTTTGAGGCTGGTTAATAGCTCAGCAGCTCGAGTCCTAACCAAGGACCTAGGAACTGTTAAGGTATCGTCGGAGGATGTAAGCTGTTCCGAGTAAGGTGGTTTTTTGTAGAGTCAAAATGTTCAAGTCCGGCAAATTGAGAATTTCTAAATAGCGGGGTAGCCCTTTGGGTATTGCTCCAAGGGCTCCAATTACAATCGGGACAACACACGATTTCTTTTTCCACAGTCGCTCAACTTCAATTTGCAAGTCCCGGTACTTTGTGATTTTTTCTTGCTGCTTATCTTCAATCCGTGCATCACTAGGTATTGCAATGTCAACGAACCATACTTTTTTCTTTTCAACTATTGTTATGTCAGGTGTGTTGTGGACCTGTCAGTCTGAATCCTAAAGTCCCACAAGATCTTGAGTTTCTCATTCTCTAAAACTTTCTCAACCTGATGTTCCCAGTGGTTTTTGCTGTACTCAAATCCAAACTTCTGGCACAATTTCCAGTGAATGATCTTAGCAACACGATCATGGCGTTGTAGGTAGTCAGTTTGTGAAATTTCGCTGCACCCACTGATCAGGTGGTCGACTGTCTCATTTTTCTCATTACAGAGGCAGCAATTGCTGTTGGTGGTAACATGTTGAATTTTTGTCTTCATGCAGTTTGTGGCTAGGGCTTGTTCTTGAGCTGCCAAAATAAAGCTTTCTGTTTCTTTTTTCAGTACTCCTGATCTTAACCAGTTCCAAGTTAGTTTCTGGTCAGCTTTGCCTTCAATACTTTTCAAGTATTTATTATTTATTCATTTTTGTTGTTGTTGTTGTTGTTGTTGTTTGTGGCTAGGGCTTGTTCTTGAGCTGCCAAAATAAAGCTTTCTGTTTCTTTTTTCAGTACTCCTGATCTTAACCAGTTCCAAGTTAGTTTCTGGTCAGCTTTGCCTTCAATACTTTTCAAGTATTTATTATTTATTCATTTTTGTTGTTGTTGTTGTTGTTGTTGTTTGTGGCTAGGGCTTGTTCTTGAGCTGCCAAAATAAAGCTTTCTGTTTCTTTTTTCAGTACTCCTGATCTTAACCAGTTCCAAGTTAGTTTCTGGTCAGCTTTGCCTTCAATACTTTTCAAGTATTTATTATTTATTCATTTTTGTTGTTGTTGTTGTTGTTGTTTGTGGCTAGGGCTTGTTCTTGAGCTGCCAAAATAAAGCTTTCTGTTTCTTTTTTCAGTACTCCTGATCTTAACCAGTTCCAAGTTAGTTTCTGGTCAGCTTTGCCTTCAATACTTTTCAAGTATTTATTATTTATTCATTTTTGTTGTTGTTGTTGTTGTTTGTGGCTAGGGCTTGTTCTTGAGCTGCCAAAATAAAGCTTTCTGTTTCTTTTTTCAGTACTCCTGATCTTAACCAGTTCCAAGTTAGTTTCTGGTCAGCTTTGCCTTCAATACTTTTCAAGTATTTATTATTTATTCATTTTTGTTGTTGT